GTTCTTTCTTTCACGGATGCTCTTTGTTTCATTTCTTTGTCTCTTTTCTATATTAGTTACATGTGAATATAACTTTCATAAGTATGCAGTTAATTATTATAATTCATTAAAAAGCACATAAATATATATGTGTATATGTGCGGTTATTTAATTTGCTAATATTTTATTGAAATTGTGGAATACCCCTTTATTCTGACTTTTATGCATTTCTTCCTGTTAGCTCCCTTCTTTTCCTTTAAATATTTCTGAAATATACTACTGCGCTCACGGAGTCTGTCAGTGTTGAAGAATTTCTGGATTTCAAATCAGCCAGATTGAATCCTCCAGAGATGTGTTTCAGCTCTTGGTTACAGCCGAAAACATCGCGGCAAAAACATCGCAGAAGAAAATATCGCGGAGAAAACAACGCAAGGCGAAAACGTCGTGCTACAAAACATCGTAGAGAAAACATCGCAGTTCTAAAACATCGTTGGTACAAAACATCGCAGTTCTAAAACATCGTGGTACAAAACATCGTCGTCGAAAATAAAGCGGTTCAAAAACTTCGCAGTTTAAAAACATCGTCGTCGAAAATATCGTGGTAAAAAATAAAGTATCTACAAATCATCGCATGACGATAACATCGCAGACATGCTTTTTTCAGACATATTTTAATAACTGTAAATGGATATTCCCATAATGATTTGTGAGCGCAAGATGGAAAGAAGGATAATTTTTACTTTCATATTTTATTAATTAATAAATTTTGCTGAGAAAATAAATAGGAAACTTAAGCATAGAAAAATTAATGCAACTTATAGCACTTAATAGAATTTTAAACCGACATAGTTAACTAACAAAGGCGCCCATTAATAAATCATTTTTTATAAAGTTTTTACTTTTAATTTTTCATGAAAAGTATAATCTATAAGTTGCATTTAATTTTCTATGCTTAAGTTGCCTTCTTACTTTTTCAGCAAAAATTTATTAGTTAATAAAAAAATGTGAAAGTAAAAATTATCCTTCTTTACACCTTGCGCTCACAAATCATTATGGGAATATCCATTTACAATTATTAAAACCTGAAAAACGCATGTCTGCGATGATATCGTCATGCGATGATTTGTAGATACTTTATTTTTTACCACGGTATTTTCGACGACGATGTTTTTAAACTGCGAAGTTTTTGAACCGCTTTATTTTGGATGACGATGTTTTGTACCACGATGTTTTAGAACTGCGATGTTTTCTCTCACGATGTTTTGTAGCACGACGTTTTCGCCTTGCGTTATTTTCTCTGCGACGTTTTCGTCGGCGATGTTTTTGCCGCGATGTTTTCGGCGGACACCCAGCTCTTCCAGTCACTTACTGGCCGCGGGGAGGGAGTAACTTTGCCTCCCATGTTCTGTATACAGAACCTTAAGAAACAACGTAGAAAATAATACTTTATCTTATTGACTGAAATAATAAAGAGAAATATGTTGGACATTACACCGTATCTCATTCGTCCAGTCTTTTATTATCTTTTCTGTTTCATTCTTCGCTAGGTATTAGGTGGATGCGTTAGGGATTAGCTTAGATATTGCTTTTGAAAAATGGTTGAAGGGGTGAAACTGTACCTTCAGAAAGGGGTCAACCTAAGTTAATTGTTGATGGCTATTTGATGTGTAAAGAGGAAAGTTTTGGTATTTGTTTTATTGGTATTGCAAGATGTGCAAAGGCTATGCAAACACCGTACTTGTAGCTGGACAAGATGACCTTCAAAACCATAGGGGACATAATCATGAATTTCATGTTAAAAAAGATGGAGAGAGAGAGATTTTTCTAGCAGCAGATAATATTAAACAAGCGGCCCACCAAACTTGCGACACACCATTGCTGTCCCGGAGCAAAGTCCTCCTGCGATGCCTAGATATCATGCTTTACTTCAGTTTGTAAAAAGAGCTTGTAAAGAAATTTTAGCTCTGCATCCAGCTGCTTTGGAAAATATTGATACTCCATTAGAACTCAGAGCTATTAGAGATGAAAAATTTTTACTAAATGATTCATCCTTTAACAGTTAACACACACTGTTGTTCGCCAAGTTTACTACTGTTTGTCTACCAGAAGAACAGCTCTCGCCACAGTGTCACCGGGGTGGCGGTCGCTACAGCAACAGGGCTAGTATATTTCAAATAGGAACAAACCAAGGGTTGCCAATTCATTTTTAAGTGCGTCAAGATGGCAAACTGAAAAGTAAATCTTCAAGAAACCACTACGGAAAATGGGCCAAGGCTCGTTTCTACGGTAACAGACAGCTGCAAACTAACTGGCGATGGCTTTTCTTATGCTAGACAGACCGTAGTCACTTTATATATCTGCAGGCAAACGTACCTGTCGCATAACTGAGTATCAGGTAAATTTACCCGTAAAATAACTAAGTTATCGGCCAATTGAATGTCGGGCAAACGTGTCAGACCCGAAAGGAAGTGTATTTAAAAATAAAACAGCAATCGGGGGGGGGGAGCGATATTCATAATTTTACCAGTTGTAGTCAAATTACATTACGTATTACAATAGGATGATAACTATTAAATTTTTAACGAACATTTCTCGATCAATTAAAAGCTTTGTTTGCAGTTTTGGTTTATAAGTTTGTGTTTAGTCGAGGTAATATCTGTATATAATATATACATTATTTAAAATGTTGAATTGTGTTTAATTTAATATTCGTTAGTCTCGAAGATTTATTTCTTTAAATACAGGTCCTCTACATGCGTTTATAACTGTGAAATTTTTTAACATGAGGCAGGAAATTGTATTAAACATAGTGAGTGGAAGGATGTTGCAAATTAAGCTTGTTTTTTTAATGATTCTTGAAATGAGTGAAAATTGTAATTAATAGACAAGTCAGTACTTTTAAACGAATAAAAGCTTCTCAGTTTTACATAAAAAATACTTTAAGATAGTATTTCTTAAACTTTTTTCAGGAAGGAACCAGTTTCGTAAATTAGAATGTTCTGCAAACTACCTGTCTGTTATCTCTTTTGAAAGCATGCTTAGTTAAAATTTATGTTACTACCATTATACTTATGGTTTTTAAATATGAGTAATTAAAATAATTTAATTTTGCATTGGTATTAATCAGTTAATAGAAGAAACATTATACTAGTTTTTAATAATTCAATGCTATTTGAGTTTGAATAATCTTTATAGTTTAAACTAAAAGTTATATAAACGTTGGTAATCACGTTAACGAGATAGATAAGCCAGCCGATTCTTGCACAGCTGTTCTATGTTTGAATGCATGTTCTCAAGCTTAGGTGGGAGATCAACAAGTTGATTCCGGTCCTTTGTTCTTATAGTATGTAGAAGCAAATTAAATTATAATTTTTGGAGCACCGCTAGAGAGTTCACTACGTTCCGTTTTCACTGGTAATGAGGTCCAGAAATTAACAATACCTTCTGCTTGAAATTTCTTTTGAAGTGCGGTGTCATTCGAGAGTTCAATTAACTGTTCTTTGTCATTCAATGGAAAATTCGTTATGTTTACCACTTGGAAGATAACTTTCAAGGTGTGGCATCAAAAATTTGGGGTGCAATCATATGACACTGCATAATTCTTTTTTAATGACGATGTCACTTTCTACTAAAAATTACTGTAAGATTGGAAATGATGAAAAATTTCTCTCTTGTACATAATAAACCAACAAACCAAATTTCCTTTAAAACTTCAATTTCTCATGGTCATTTAGAATAATCAAAGAATTATCTTCTAGACCTAGATTTAGTTCTGAGAATATTCATTTGAGAGATATGCTAGTGTAATTAGCCACATATCATCAGCAAATAATAATGTAAAATATTGTTAATTCCGTTTACAAATAACAGAAAAATTCTGCAAATCTAGAAAGATCACTAGGGCAAGTTTCGACGATCACTTGTGGTTCGCGGACCACAGTTAGAGAAACGCTAAGGTCAACTGCTCGACAGCATTACTGCTTGGGGATAAAGCAGTATAAATTTCCGGTAATAGATATTCAGAAAACAAACAAACAAACAAAAAAAAAATAGCAATTACTACTAAAAAATCAGTCAATATTTTACCAGCCATTAGAGAATTTAAGGCAGTTGAAATTAAAAAGTTGTATAATGGATATTCAAGTCAAATGTGTTAATTAGCGATTAGTATAATTTCTGATTTTGTGCCTGAAAAAATTTTAGAACATATTAACCGACTTAAATTGGTACATTTTACATGCCAGCTATGCCTGTTCAAGTTAATAATACTTTAAAATTTAAAGAAATACAAATTGAATGCTTTTACTTGTAATTTCTTCATCTTAGTTAAAGCAGCATTCATTATTACATTTTCAGTTAGCCTCTTGAAGTACGTAAGCTTGTAGCGGTTGCTACATCATAAAAATTATTTTTCTGCTTTAAGAATTACTTTACACCACTCATTTTAAAGAAATATAATTTATTATTCAATTTTTAAAAACTTTCTTTTTTAAACGACATCATTCTACGATTATTTTCGTTTCCTTCTGTTGCCACTCACAGTCTGCATAAAGTTGTACGAACAAAAACGATTATATGGTTTGTAGAGGTTACAAGCGTATGCCTGTCAGGTTTGTGCTTAATACCGAATATATTATTTTTAACTAATCAAAACTTATTAAATATTTTATTAATAGAAAAATTGGCTCTGTTGGAACTACATAAATGTATGATTTGTTTTTATAGAGCATTTCCATCGATAGCTTTGAAAGTATTTTTATATAATTCTTTACGTTATTCCGAGAAACACTTGAATTGAGTATATAATTAGAATTAATAGTTAATGAAATAAATTATGCAGCCTCCGATTTCAAATGTTATGTATATCACAATAAAAGGTTTTTTTTTTTTTTTTTTTTTTTTTCCGAAAACATTCTGCTAACCATTAGTTTACTGTGATCAATCCTTAGTATTGTTTTTCATAAATGAATATGATTATTTTTTTCCATAAAGAAGATATTGACATTTATTTCCTATTACAGGTTGTTTTGAAGATTAACCAATAAATTTTCGTTCGACAATTCCTTTATTCTGATAGTAAAAGATGGAAGACACATCGAGTGCTTCATCAGACAGTGATAATGCTCTCTTGTCTCCTAAAGACCGATCGCGAATCGGCTGCAGCGTGGCCAACGCAAACACCCGAAATGCCTCGGCACGAGATGAATCTTCCTGATTCGTCGACGAGAAGTCTTGTTACTAACAACGTAGATTCTTCTTCTATTATGGTGTACAAATTAGATCCCCAAAAGTCAATATCAGAACTGGAACGAGAGGCAAAGAATCTCGCCATTCCCGATGTAGTTGTGGAATATATTAAAGATTCTTACCACAGGCAAGAAGATAAGGAAAATGGCGTTACAAATCCTGTTTTCGAACCTCAAGATCTCATTGTCGTAAGAACACCGTCTTCCGTTAGTTTAAGAGATGATATCAATACTGAAAATGCAATGGCATTGTCTCCTTTAAACAAAGACACTCAGAGACTGTATTACAGCCTTCCGAGGACGGTGAAGAAACTAGGGGATGCATCTGATGCTCCTGTGCACAGCCAGCCGTCTATTCCAAAGCTAAAGCCGGGACTTTTGACTGTTGTCGATCCATCATTATCTGCTTCTTCTTCTTCGTTAGGATATCCAAGGTCTGTTCCTCCTTCTCCTAATTTCGGCTACAGGCCCTTGGAAAGCGCGAGACATCAGCTGTCTACACCATCATCGCCCCCGTTCGATATACCGTAAATGGGAACGATAAAGAAAGGGAGTTGGAAATGCTTGCACAGTTGCAGGCACAACTGGAACGGGAGAAAGCAACGTAAGTAATCATTTTTCACTCTTTAAATTTGGTGTGATATACAGCACAAATTGTTTAATCCGGACCTCAAAGCTACAAACTTTCTGCGCATGCGTTTACGCATGCGCATAATACCTTTACGCATGGGCGTTTAATGTATAACGGACGGTATAAGCTAGGATAAAATTATATATTATCTATTTCAGTTAATGTTGCAGATTGCGTTGTTCCTTAATCTTCTAATTAGATCAAGCTTATTATTTTTTGCAGACTGTTAGAGCAATTTTATAAAAAGTAAGCTTGAACTTTCGATTATGTCAAAAAGAGTTTCTGATTCTGGAGCTGCCAAAGAATCACAAAGCGAAAGCATGTTTCGATATACCGCTTCCGATAGTGAAGGAAGTAACAGAGAGGTTTGAAAACGAAAAAAATTCGATTGACAAGTTAGTCGGTATTCACGACACACCAATTACAGGACTTGAACAGTGAACAAGAAATTACGTCTGTTTATAGAAATAAAGAGAAAGTATTAGCACAAAAAACGAAGCAACTTAAACAACTTACATTGAAAGAAATGTTTAATAAAGTAAACAAATAAATATTAAGCTTTTTTTTGTAAATTTTGATACCCTTTAGATCACAATTGCTCTTTATTTCATAAATTACGGCTTCATATTTTTTATTTTATAATTTCTGCATGCCATCTTACCAGATTTAAATTGATGATCTATAATCCTGAAAAACCCTTAATCCGGAATCGCTAATCGTTGGGATCTAATCCCTAATCTAATCCCTAATCGTTGGGAATATTTTCAAAAATTGGCTAGTTTTTAACCAGATCTGAAATTGTTATCTTCAGTTCATTTCTGCAGTATTCATTACAGTAAATGCACTGCATATTCTTTATCAAATTCAAATGCTCTTTAATTCTCAGGTTTTATAACAAAACCATTTACAGGTTGCTTATTGTATAATTAGAGGAACGTTGTTATTGGAAAATGTTTCTTTCGTGTGTCATGTCCTCTGTTTTGTTTTAGAAGATTTTAATCAATATTAGAGCACAATAAGCCGACATGAGCTTTAGCGTTACGCAGGTTGTAATGTGTGAAGCAAAGATTAATAGATAATTAGATAATGATCTTCTACTTCGTGTGCTGCGAAAGATAATGATAGCTAAAATTGAGACTTTGAGTAAAACTGATTTTGGTTAAAAAAAAAAAAAAGTCAAACATTTATTTAAAATTTACGTGAAACAAAACTTTTATTGAACACTTTATAAGGTTTATGCTGTCCTATGCTGGTTTATAACAGCATAGGACAAGAGTTTCATATTTTTAATTGATCTAGCATTGTAACTGTTTATTCTAGTATTTTAATATAGCATTAAACATGCTGTATTAAAGCCGTTAAAGTTAAACGGGGTTTATATTTAAAGATGAAATAACAGAATATCAGACACGCAATATTTTCTAAAAGGAAAGAGAATTTATCCATACTTGTATTAACTAATAGCTACATACCGTAATTTGAGCGTAGGAATTCTGAAACTCAAAACTCAATATTTTTTTTCTTTTCAGAAATTATTTCTGGCAAACGTAACCGCATATTGCTAAAAATGGCTATTATGTCATGGATGTAAGGCCTAGACACGCATAGCATTGTATGAGAAATGTTACGAATATTTTGAAATGATCTGCAGCACGCTATTTCCTTTTATTTAGTTCAGATATTACCACATATTGTTTTAACACAACTTTTCACTTGTAATTCAATAATTAGAATATGCGTGATATCAAAGTTAGCTATTTTTATATTAATTACATTGCAGTCATTTGGAAATTATTCTCCTATTATTCGAAATAAAATACACAAAAGTACTATTCAATACTTACAAATAACATTATTTCAAAAGCTTTTGTATGCAGCTAAACATAAAATAAAGTTACAATTTTAAATATAAGTAAACTGCGGATTAAGAATTCAGATGAAAGATGTGATATAAATTGGAGCCGAAAGCATTATGCGTGCAAAAAATTAAATATGCTGGGAAAGCCAAGAAACAGGCAATGAAAATAAGTAGAAAGCCGTAAAAGGTAATATGTGATTACGATGATGACTACGAAGACTATAATAAAACTTCCGAAGATAAAATAAGAACGTACAACTTGACTTCAGAACATAAAACATGACGAAGAAACCTAATAATAAAAGCCTTAAGAATCGACATAGCGTGGATTAGTTTTCAGTTCGAGGGGAGGTTAAGAATTTACCTTTAGCGGCAGGATCGTTAAAAGGGCGAAAAAGAACATACTCCCAAGTAACAATAGCACATAATAATTCGAGAAATAGTCCTGCAGATTTATCTACGTTACCATAAATTTACTCTATTGCCTTCAGATGTATATATATCTACTCGTCGTGCAGTCTGCTGTCTTGTAAATTCACTCCAGTTATGCTTATTCCTTTTATTTATTTTTAATTTGGACTTTATAATATAATTAAGAAATTTCAATATTAGCTAGCGCGATTCAGCAGATGTAAAAGTATCTACATGTTACGTGGGCTTGGTCAAAACACTTTCTTCCTGAGAAAAAATGACTCTTCTCTCTCTCTCTTTATCTGTTTAAGGGGTATCACCAACCCCTATACAGACAGTGTTAAATTGGATATTTTTTTTAAACATTTTGAATTTTAGAGTAATTTACAGAATATTTTGCTAGGCATAGTAAAATTTAGCACTTTTCTCACACAAAATTAAAGTTTTTTTTTTCTCAGTTTATCATAAAAATCTCATTTCAGTAAATATTAGGAAACCTAATAAATAAGCCATAAAAATTTAGATACCTGTTAGCAGTACTTCCTGAGAGAAAGTACATCGAGTATAAAAAATCACATTTGCAGAAAAACGCATTTTTATGTAAAAATCCTCATTGATCAAAGCATTCGATGACAAAATAAAACTAGATTTTTTACAGTTCTAATTTTCATAGAGGAATGGTATTTTTAGAAAGATAAAAGTGTAGAGAATTTGGAAATGTAAAAATCCGAAATTACAATTTTTTTGAAGATTTTTGGATTTCAACAGCAATAAACAAATTATCCTGGAGTATATCTGAGAGAACTGTAAAAATTAATTTGCAATAATTTAATTAAAGAGTTTGCAAAAAAGGGTATGATATCTGATGACAGAGTAGATGGTGTATATTTCATATCTTAATTTAACGGCAGTTTATAGCAATTTTTAAACGTGCGTGTACATTTGTATTAACAATTTCCAAATAAAGCTATTTTTGATAAATTTAACAGTTTGTTTCCAGGTTTACTGGAAAACAAAATTTAGAATCTTGAAAGCTGTAAAAGGAGGCTATATTTCAAAATATTATTATTAATATTTTAATTTATTTTTGCGTTCTGAAAGACTTCTTAAAATGAAGAAGGAAAATATGTAGCGTGGTCATAAAAAGCTTCCGATATATGAAATTTTAGTGGCCTATGCCTCAACCAATCTAAATGCAGTTCCAGATATCGTTATTTGAAGATATGCGCTCGAGATTGTGATGATGTAAAACAATAGGTTGTGGTTACCATTACAGTTAAAGTGAGGAAATTTCGGAAGTCTCGAATACAACACACACCTTTTTTCCCTGTGTAAATTGGTCAGCGCACTAGAAAACCATAAATGGCGTTGGAACAATAGACATATGAAGAAAATTCCTGGCGTAAAACATTAGCAAAGACATTAAAATACATTGTAAAAGATCAGTAACAACACAAGAGAGGAAAGGGAAGAAAGACTTTGTTGGAATTACAAGCTTTCAACATGTACATCATTTAATTGGGGAAAGTGCTTATGGGCAATTTTTATCATTTGATTGTCAATGCCGTCAGGGCAGGGAGCTTTTATTGGAGAGACTTTTATGATTTTTTTTATTTCAAACTTTGTAAAGTCATCTTTGGTTCATGGAGATAAATAGATCTTTTTTGTCTTTGCTCTTTGGTAGCTTCTTATAAGTTATCTTTTAGAAATACTGCTGTTGCATCTTATGTTTTAGATAAATTAGATACTGCATTTGGAATTAGGATTTGGGAATATTTATAGACTTTGTACAAATTTTATAAATTGGCTCATAAGGGTCTTTTCCATCTAATTTCTTCCAACAGTTGAATTTTGCTGGTTTTATTAGTTTCTTGTATATTGCTCGTCGTTTCGAAAATATCTGATATGCATTCTGTCTTTCTCATCTGTTATGGCTTTTTAATGCCCTTGTTTCTTTCGCTTCTAAAATTTTTAGTCCACCAATTAACTTTATTAATATCAGTAGGACATTTAACTTTAAAATCTTTTCACAATGATTTTGATGGTGGTTAGTATTTTTGATGCTTAGTCGTCTATTTCTAGTTGATTTTGTGTTTCTTGAATTCCTATTATTATTGCATTTATTTCTAGAGTGATTGACGTTAAAAATTTATTCATTCTATTGCTAGTTGTTATTGTTGAATTTGTTAATCAAAAATTCATTAAAGTTAAAAAAAATTTGGTTGTCATTGTTTCTGTTGAGTTTATTTAAAAATATATTGTTTTATGATCTAAGATTTCTTCATTTTTTAGAACTTTCCATTCCCCCCTTTTTTTGTTTGTTTGCAAAATCATTATTGGCAATCGTATCAAAATCATTATTGACAGTCGTATTGATCGTACCAACCTTGTTTCAAATGTTGGAGGGGCAGAGTGTTTATTTATTAGACTGTTTTCAATAATAAAGTCTTCAACTTCGGGTCCTTTTGCGCCTGTTCTTTGGTATCCCCATACTGAGTTGTGGGCATTAGAGTCACCGCCAATAATGAGAAATGTTTAAAAATCTATTTATTATGGATTTTAACTGATCCAAATTTGTGGAAATATTTTCGTTGAGTTATGCATAGAAGGAAGTTATCAGTAAATATTCTTTTGTAGAACTGACAGCTATTATAATGATGTCTTCTGATGTGAAGATTGTTGATGGGGACCAGATTTTATTATT